TCCTGTGAGGGCTAGACATTGGTCAGTTTGGTTCGCTGCTGTGTTTCTTGTATCCCCTGTATCAAATTATTATTTGACTATATGAATCTGCCATATGTTAAGACTGATGTGTGTTGATGTTTGAGATTAGAGTGTTACTTTCCTGTTGATTTCTCCAACTGGTTTTGCTCCATAAGAGTGGGAATTTAAAACATGGCTTCAAATTATTTGGTACTCCTCCCTGGATTCTGTGACTACTTCAACAAACAGAGCATGGCAGAAGTGATGCTATGGACTTTCATGGGTGGGTAATAAAAAGTCATGCAGTCTCTTGCTTATTTGCTGAAATTCTTGCTCTTGGAGTCTTTACACCTAAATGTAAGAGGTTAGAGTACTCTGAGGCCCCCATGCAGTGATGAAACTCAAGGCACATGGAGAGGACATAGGTAGGCGCTCAGATTGATGGTTTCTGCTATACCCAGCCTTTAAGCCATTTTCCAGTCAAAACACCAGACATAAGAGCGAAGAAGCCATCTTGGGAGTGGATCCACCAGTCCCATGTGCTCCAGCTTCCAGATATCATGCTGTAGAGACAAGTCATCCCTACTTTACATTTTTTGAATTTCTGACCTAGAATTCATGAGCATAATAAAATGGTGGTGGCCTGACACTGCTAAGTTTGTTACATAGCAATAGATTTCAAGAACAATAATGGAAAAGGCTAGATAAAAATGGTAATTACCTTTGGAAAGAAAGTTAAGTTTTGAATTTTTTTTTGTTTTTGTTTTGGTCTATTTGGAACAGTACGTGGTATGTATGAACATAATTCTACCAGCCTCATCTTGGAAGTTAGTGTCTATCCAGATTAACTCAATAGACTCTAGACTCTCATTAACCACCAAGAAATATCATTCTGATGAGTCACTGAGATTTCTTGCTCAAAATTCTGGGTTCTTGGTATATTTCCTTGTCGATCATATGAAGGGGTTGGCAGTTTTGGACCAGTTAGGTCAACACAGTCATGAAATAATAGGAAAATATATAAATGAGATTCTAAGTTTTGTTATGGTACCAATTTTCTTTATTTTTTCTTCTGCTTTTAAAAGTGAGAATGGGTATGACTAGAAATACTAGCCAGAGATCAGCATTGCAGAGGCAGCTACCTATTAAAAATCTAGATGCTTTCAGAGCTGGAAGGTCATTAGAAACTCACTCATAACGCTCCTGGGAAAATTCATTAGTTGTTTAAGGGTGCATAATGGTGCATCTCTCCATTGGTTAGGGATAGTTGGACCAGCAACCAACTCATCTTAGTGCTAATAGGAAAATTTGGCAAGCAGTCACATGTTAAAATCACTTTCATGATTCAAAAGCAACAAGCAATAATAAGGTCTTATTTTTCCTTGCAGTCATTGCAGTAGTTAAAGCAAAGAGAGCTGGGATCACTGTAGATAAATCCTGAAAGCTCATTGGCTTAACTTAATAGAAGTTTATTTTTTATTTGCACTACCATCCAATGTAGGTGTTCAGCAGCCTCTTCAAGGAGTGTTCAGGAACGCAGTCTTCTTTTATCTTGATGCTCTGCCATCTTCTTGGGTCTTGGAGTCTTTCACTGCTAGCCAGCAGGTAGGGAAAGAGGGAGAGTTAAGGGCTAGTTAGGAAGTTTTTAGTGAAAATGGAATTCCTGAGTATTAGGCACATTCAGCTATCCAGAAATAATTCCCATGGCCCTATACTAGGGTAATGGATATGAGACTTCCTAGCAATAACTCTACCCAATGGAAGAGGAGCACAGACCTTTGTTGGGCAACTAGTCCTCTTTGCCACAGATTGAGTATTTTAAGAATCCAAAATCTCAGAGATAGATGAATATCTGAGATGGGACTTTCAGGCAGACCGCATAGTCCTGATACAGTTACAGTCCTCATTTACCTAACACTTTAAGTATTAAGGTGATCCTCAGAAACCATTAAGTCAGGATTGAAAATAGTGTAATTAAGATAAGAAAAATACAATTTTCTGGTAATTGAATATTTTATTTTATTTTATTTTAGAGGGTAAGGGTTCAATCTGGATTTTGAACTGGTTTGTATTATAATAGGATTTATATAATTATAGCAAAGACAACTCTGTTTCCACTTTTGCATAACTATTGCTACAACTTTAGTTTTTTTATTGTGTGCTTACCCTTGACAGTATTTTCATGTTTGGAAGAAATTACAACAGCACATGCCTTTACCCTACGGTTTTTATTTTCACTGTGTTGCTTAGTTGTTTCTTCATTATTTTTACTTGTTTTAAATAAGCTTAACCTCTCCTTAAATTATCTTATAATTTTTATTCTGGAACTGGGATTGACTATGGTATGAAATGATCATGAATTTCATTCTTGACTTTTTAAAAACATGATTTTGAGGCTACCTGGTATCAGAACTGCTTAACTGTAAAATGTGTTTCTTCTACCACTTCTACAGAGCAACTCTGACAAGTGACTTAAAATTCTGTTTTCTCATCTCTGAGATTTTACTGGTCCAGTGAACAATCTTGAAAGTAATGTCAAGGGCTAAGTAACTTTTCTTTGAAAGTTGAAATCCTCATGGAATCCACCTAATTGTGTGGTGGAACTGGATTGTACTGATTCATAGAAGCCAAATACTAAAAACTTTTTCTAGCAGCTAATGTTACAAATTAAATATAAAAACTTACACTTAAGTCAATTATATTAAAAACCAGTAATTTCATAATTTTTAAATTACATTTTTACTGTTATCTAGCATCTTATTTTTTTTGAGACAGGGTCTTGCTCTGTTGCCCAGGCTAAAGTGCAGTGACATGACCATGTCTCACTGTGACCTCAAACTCCTAGGCTCAAATCTTATCCTCCCAAGTAGCTGAAACTACAGACACATGCAACCATGCCTGTCTAATTAAAAAATAAAAATAAAAAATAGAGATGGGGTCTCACTATGTTGCTCATACTGGTCTCGGACTCCTGGACTCAAGTGATTCTCCTGTCTCCGCATCCCAGAGTCCTGGGATTAATTACATGCATGAGCTACCACACTGACTTAGCTAGGATCTTGAGGTTTTTTATATCTATTGTGTGCGTGTGATGGAAGATACTAGTTGATGGGGCTGCTATTGTGCCTTTCTTCCCAAGGCTGTATTCAATGATGCCACTTAGGTAACTTGAAGTTGGCCAACGTGGATTCTGGTTCTTACATGTCCAGCAGCCCATGGCCCACCATACAGATCATCTCCTTCAGTTGGGAGAGGCTTGAAAGAGATAAGTAGAGCTAGGGACATCATAGATGCTCAATAAAGGACAGCTTCCTGCATGGTCATTCCTTCAGGAATCCGCTGCCATCTCCAGGGAGCCTAAAAATGGCAGTATTGCCAGATCATTGCAGTGCAGGGCCTCCAGGACACAGGATCTTTTTCTGTCTTTCCATTCATAAATTACGTTCATTAATACTTGACTCCTTCCCTCCCAGAGTTATATTAGGGGAGGAAAATATCCTAATTGGTGTGAGAGCATTTTGAATAATTAGGAAGCACTGTTTTCAAATTGGAAGTTGAGAAGTAGTTTTGCACAGGATTGCCGGTTTGTGGCAGTGATGACTTTGAGAGAAGACTATTCTTCTCTAGTGCTCAGCCCAGAGCTGTAGCAGTGATTTCCCAGTACTGGGCCCTGGATACGTGAACCATGGTCCATGTCCAGAATTTCTTGGGCCACTGGAAATAAGGACAGCATAATAAGATATGAGCAAAAGGTTGCCTACTTTATTCTTGTCCTAGATAGGACTATCTTTTATTCTGGGATTTGATTCTTGTGATGATGTTTACATTTATGGTTCTTATCTTTTTCAAATAGCAGTGATTATAAATGACAGTAGTAGAGTTGATTTTAAATGTTCTTATTTGGAAAAAGCTAGAAATTATATCCGTCCTTTTTCTACCTTTAAAAAATAACAAAAAAACTAAATGTTTGTGGTTCAGTGGTTTAGAAAGCCTAAAACTACCCATGTTGATTCTAAATTGATTTTTTTGGAAGCAGAAATAAGTATTGATAGAATTACTCCTTAGGTGACCTGTAGCAGCAGTGTAGACATGTGAGAGCACTTTTGCTTACTCCTGCCATTGTCTACTCTCATAAAACTGTTGATGGTTATTAAGAAAATCAAAGCATGTCTTGAATACACTTCATCTTTATCTCTTCTAAGACAACTTTTCAAAGTCTTAATTGAACTGTTCTTTTGAGGGGATATGTGCTAAAAGTGAGCCTTTAAGCTTAAAGTTGCAATTATGTTGTTTGCTTTTTACCTAAAGAAATGTTCATCATTATTCCAGGAATCACTGGGTCCACATCTGGCTTTAACCGTTTTTGCCTTTCCTCTAACGTTGTTGATATTAATGACAATTTTAATTTCTTGGCATTGTGATACATAAATATATCACCCACAGATGTGATTTTGAACAAGGACTGAAGCTGTAAATTCAGAAGCAAGAGATTCACAGGATTTCATCAGATCACTCTCAAAAGTGTCACAGTTATACTGAAATGGTTTTAAATTGCTCATTTCAAACCTACCTCGGTAGCAAAATGCCATGCGTGCAGTTGATTTGCAGCCACGTTAGTCATTTTCTTTCCTTCGTTTCCTTGCTGTGTGTTTGTATTGGGAACACAAAGTAACGTAATTTAGTAAATTATGATTTGATGGCTGGGCATCAGCCCCAGTGTTGAACAGTATTTGGACTATGATTACTTGCTGGCTTTGTCACAGTTGACATTAATTATTGATGGAAGTTTCAGAAATAGCGCATGTGCCAGGAGCTTTTCACCGGAACGCAGGCTCCAGGCAGGAGGGATGCTAAGGAGTGTGAGGGAAGAGGCACCTGTGGCTTGTTTATGTCTGTGCACAGGGAACTTGGACCTGGTGGGCTGTGTGGTATCTGTGTAAAGGTCATGGTATAACGGAAGGATGAACCGCCAGGCTTATTTCTATCGTGTTCCTCCCCAGGAATTGCACCGAAGAAGCCAACTTCAGCCGGAGCCAGCCAAGACGAAGGCTCTCCAGACTGTCATTGAAATGAAGGTAGGAGCTGTTCACTTTTGTCACAAACAGCTGTGCTTTGGGAGTTTGTTTTAACTTGGTGGTGCCTAACATAAATAAACCTTGTGTTTTTCTCCAGGCACCCTGCTGGGTGCTTTGCTTTTGGATCTTTTTGCCTTCCTGGATGTGTTTAATTTATTGGCCCTTTAATTAGGATGCCTTTTCTGGGTAAAAGAATAAAGGGCGTGAGTATCCATTGACTGAACAGAGCTGGGTTCATTTTCACAACATGGACAATGAATGCCTTTAACCCTAAGGGAGGTTTTGTGTGTGCTTTAAAAGTAAATTTCTAAAGCTAGGATAACCCCCCCGCCCATTCACATTATAGTGAAAAGACATCTTTGAGAAACTAGGATTTGGCAAAAGGAAGTTATTTTATTTTTATATACAGTGGTATCATTAAATAATGAACATTATGCTATCAGTAAAATTTACTAAAAAAAAAAAACTTTCTTGTGACCCTAGTATTTTCTCTTAACTAAGTCTGGAAGTAATAATAATTTACTAAATACTCACAAAGTATCCTATTTAGCTGTGCAGGCATAGAGATATATTATTTAAAGGAAGAGAAAAATGCTTCTGGGTGGACTTAGGGCATTTAAGGAAAAATGAAGTAAATGAGGGTGGCCAAGCTATGATCTATGATTAAGAAACAGATCTTATTATGCAGCTATAAATAAGGACAAAATTATGAACTTCTCAGCAACTTAGATGGATTTAGAGTCTGTATTACTCAGTGATCTATCACAGAAACCAAGAACTGAGTACCACATGTTTGCACTCATAAGCAGACCCTGATCAATCATCATAATACTACAAGAAAGGGATTGGCAGTAGTGGGAAACTGCCAGGGGAGGGAGGAGGGGGGCATACTTCATCAATTAGCGTACCTGATCTCAAATCAGGTAAAGTGGGGACCAAAGTGAGGCCTAAACTTTACCTGTACAGTGACCATTTATATACCTAACCCTGAGTTGTACCCAACATCTTTAAAACAAAACGAACAAACAAACAAAAAGAAACAGATCTAAGTGAAACTCAATTGCTTTTTGCCAGTATCTAGAAATTTGAAATCTTTTTACTTCCTGTTTTTGCTAGAAGGAAGCAAATAGTGAAGTGTTTATTTTAAGAATAAGTAATTCTTGATTTAAATTGTGCCATTAGGAAAGACATTTTCATAACAAAGATATTTGTGCCTGAAATTTCCATACTTGTGTTAACACTCAGAGAGTCTGCTGGTCACCATGGGCCTACAAGAGAATTCTGAAGCTTGCTGATAGAATAATGATTTTTCTGTCTTTATTGCAGCACATGATTTTGAATTGTCTACCAAAAAATTCCCAAGTCCTGGGGAAAAAGAAACTGATATGAGCTATTGAATTCTTGGCATGTATAATTCTGACTTGGGACTTTTTTTTCCTAGTCAATGACAGTGTCTTCATCCAAGTGGATTTTTGTGGAAATAATATAGCATATTTGCTTTAAAAGTATATGTCCCCTAAATGAGACTACACAAATCAAGGCAGTTTTCATATATTTGCAGCACATTGATTTGAAAAATATCATTGAAGGGACCACATGCCAGTAGGATTAAAAAATAATTGTTAACCCTGGCATATCAATTGTTTTGAATTTATTTAACTTTAGCTTATTTTGAAAACAAACTTAACATTCTACACTTGGTGGGAGACAGTGGTTCATAACTGAGATTTTATTCTCACTTCACGTTGAAACCAAACCTGAAACTTGGTTAAGGCTTAAAAAAAAAAAAAAAAAGAAGAAAATGAAAAGACAGAAAGACAAAGGGCTTTTTTTTTTTGTTTGAAAAGGGTAATTCACCTTCTACCCACCTCCACACCCATCCTTATAGCCAGCACAAATAGTAATGGAGAAGAGGATACATATGCAATCTATTTCTAAATTATCTTAAGCAGATAAAGAAAGAGTGACGTCCAGAAACCTTTGGAGAATACCTGATGTACTGGGTATTTTCCTGGTAAATGTCTCTATATAAAGAACAACTGGTACCTTTTTTGTGACTTTTTAAAGTAGAAAATCAGATTCTAATTTGCTGTTTCTAGCATCATGTTTTATTATAAAACAAAAAAATTATAAATAAAAACACTCAGACTATCTACATGTATAGAAACATGATTTTTTAGGGCAGTTCATATCCACATACTATCAGTAAATAGAGCCTAGAGTTTTTCTTTTTATGGATGCCAGTGGTGCTGATTTATAGGCATGAGAACATATTTTTAGGACAAATGAAGATCAATATATTTGTCAGGGAGCTGAGCCTGGAGTTTTTCTGTTGTCTTTTTGGATGCCTGTTAATTTACAAAAGCACTGCCTTCTGTCTTGTCAGCAGAGAAGTCTGGGTCCGTTAGCTTCCATATTCAACATGGCTAAATTGAGTTATGGAGGCAGCTGGTAGAGGGCCATGGAGGCCATGTGTGTAGCTTAGAGTAGAGAGTGTGATCTCATCTGACTTTGTGCATTCCATCCTTATGGAACTGGAAGGAATGTTGGAAATCCATATTGCACAAGCCTTAGAGTTGACTACCAATTGGAACTGACCCTTAAACCTGGTGAGTGGAACTTAAGTCCCTGTTGTGTTTTAGCTTTGGGTAAATATCAGTGCCATCCAGTGCCTTGAAAAAATCTAAAGTTAGAGAGCTTTCTTGGGATAAATTGGCTCTGTAGTTTCAGAGAGAGGATATAAATTAGGGCTCTGAAGTTACCCCTAATGACTCTTTCTTCTTAGAGGAACTGAGGGTATATTTCAGACCCCACACCTCCCCACATATACACTTTGCATCAACTGGAGAAAGAAGTTTGCTGTGAAATCTTGCCTAAATTCGAGCAGTATTTAGAACCACAATCTGGTACTTCTCAATCTCTATGTACTCCTCTGGATTTTGCGAGTTGTGGCAACATGTCTCTCTGGTGCCAGCATTGGGGGAGGTCATCTGCTTGCATCAAATTGGGGGTAGTTCTTTTGCAGAAACCACTTCTACTGCCAGCCAGTTGAACCAGGGAGCTAAAATCATCTGAATGAAAATGAAAGCAAGCAAAGTGAATAAAGTTATTTGTGATTTATCTCCTTCCAGGAAGCTTCACGTTTTAATTTTGATCCTGATTTGGTCTGGCAGGTATGTTCCAAAGTTTGCACCAAGAACATTGTGTGTGTTTCTCAGAAAAATTAGTTTCTTGTAGATGTTGTGATGCTCTTCCTTTTTTTGCTTTTGTGTTTAAAGGTTCTTTACTAAGCTCTCCTTTCTGCTCTGGTGGAGAATTGTCAATAAGAATGGCAGTTGAAAGACTTGTTTTCTCTTTTTTTCTTTCTTTAATGCTAATTCCTTTGAAGGAATGTATAACCTATTTTTATTGTAAACGTGACATAACATAAACATGATGTTCAAAAGTTTCACTTTCTTGGGTCATTCATAAAGCTTTACCCAGTTTTTGGTTGTTGTTGTTTTTTGTTTTTATTTTTTAAGAAAATGAATGACAGTAATGGTAGCACTTGTTATATAATCTCAAAAATACTTTTCTTTGTTAGTTAGAACTTCTAAGTGAATGAAAATCTATTTCAAAGTGGCTAAAGCAAGGAAATTTATTGGCTCACTTAACTAGAAAGAAAAAAATAGGGTTACTGCTTCAGGCACAGCTTGATCCAGGGACTCAAGAGATAATAGCAGATTTCATTTTCTCTCATTCTGTCTCTTATCTTGGCTTCCTTCATGTGAGCTCTATTTTCAGACAGCCTCTCTCTGCCTGTCTGAGCAGGGTGATTGCAGCAACTCCAACAATCACAGATGGAAGGGCAGAGAGAATGTTGCGTTTTTAAAAAATGCAAAAATATAACCCTTAGAGTAACAATAATGACTGAGATGGGGCATAAAACTTCACTCCAAACTTAACGGCCCAGGTTGAAAAGAAAATACATGGAGTTTCCTAGTTCTCATTTGCTCAATACATTAAATCATACTCATTCATTAAGGAAAACAAACTTCTTGCTAGTACCAGCAGAAAAGATTACATTTTCAGCAGAATGTATTAAATGGGACATATAGGAGTGACGTAACGGTTTTAGCAAAAGTTTCAGAAAAATGTACTTGATCTGAAAACTTGTTAACTAAAATGGATTAAAAAAGCCAGAGGCATAATGTCACAATATAACAGTATTTCTGTGGGTAATTGAGGTGAGGATTATGGGTATTTAGTGTTCCAGTCACATGAGCAGCGAGGGCACTTCTATGCCTTGAGTAGTTCCTCTTGAGTAACATTTGACTCCGCCAGGCTTTTTTATTGGAAATAAGTAATAAGCAGGGTAAGATTGAGCTTTACAAAGTTGCTGAAGTGTAGTGGTGTTGTTGATGAAAGAATATGACTTTACATCCAGGTGCACTTCAGTGGGGAGGTCGATTTTTTGTTATTAAAACTAACGACAACTTTGTCTTTGTGCCTAGGCAGATGACTGCTCTTCTGCATGGGATTGACCTGCAGTTGGGTTAAGTTTCCTTTAAGAGGTGTTTTGGTGTTTCTTGGTCAAATTCAGCCTGTTTATTTCCACAGGGTATGGAAGGGATATAATAGACATTGGGAGGTCAAGAGCTACTTCGGCAACTTTTCCAAGATCACATAATTAGGAAGGGAGAGGATTGAAATGCAAACCTAGATCACTGAACACGACCCACTACCCACTGTGAACGTATTTGAGTCCTGCAATCCAGTCAGAGACACTGTGAAGTGACTGTCAAAGTATTTTCTTTGACTGTAGGGCCTACCTTAGCTTGTTTCATTCATCTTTGGGACTGTGACTTGTTTGGGTTTTATTTAGAATTATTTCTCTCTCAGGATGCTGTATTCATAAGAAGTTTGTGCCAATCCTAGTGTTTCTGGTTAAGCCATTAGGGTGGCTTTTAGGCCTTAGGAATATGCCCTGATTCTTTTGTGGCTTTTAATAACAGCACTAA